GATTGAATATTCTGTGTTTGCGACCCTAATTTTATGTTGATTTTTTATGGCATGTCTGCTGTTCTTATTTATGCAAGAATGGAAATACATGATTCCATAATATTGTTAATTCCTGAGAAAAATTACTACAAAGTCTACAATAAATTTGATCACAAAATTTTTGACCAAAATTCAATAATGTCGAGAAGGAGATATTAACTAACACGTGTTTCTCATAGTATATACATTGCAATGAGATCTTTGTCCAATATCCGAACACGAGGCAATGTAGAATCCTATGTATATGTCATTGTAATTGCAACCTCTACATAGGCTACCCCCAGCTCTAAAATAACAAAGTTAACCAACTCTATGTAAGAATCTTCCACTAGAATGAAGTGTGACATCCATATAGCAGGAAACGTGCATAACTCTTATAACTGTTAAAACAATATAGTTATGTTAATTAACTTTTATTCAATATATCAGAATAATAGAATTGGTCACAAATCAACAGCATTGATCATAAATATGAACAACACAAAAAATCTGAGGGTTACAAATAACAGCCCTAGTCACAAATTGAATATAATATATATAAGAATGTCACAAATAAGAACACTAGTCACAAATATGAAGGTCATAAATATGAATGCTGAAGATAAAGATATTGATCACAAATTTAATATAGTATACATATAAGAAGGTCACAGATAATAGCACTGGTCATAATACAGTAGAGAACACCTTTTGGATTGTGACCATATTCTTGAAATAATAGCAATCCCTTATTCTTACCTTGATGAATACTGATGCAGTTGAATTCATCATTTTTTTTTTTCAAAATCTACTAAAAATCTAATTTTTAGATACACCAAACAGAGGGCTTTGATGCAACAATAGTATTGGAAACAATGACTGAACAAAGATCAAAATTTGTTAATTCCTAAAGAATACGTTAAATTAATTAACCAATCAGTACTCGTTGATTCAATTGAATACCAAAAATTCATTTAAGATGAGGTTTCTGTTGATTCTAGTCGAATATCGAATAAGTAATTTAATTAACAAATAATTGATTTTACGAATAGAGTAATTGATTTGATATAGCCTAAAAGATAACACTATACCTTGGAGTTTTTGTTGTATAAGCTAAAGTCGAAATTACATAAAACCAGGTCTTTAGTTTGATCTTTTTAAAAATCAGGTTTGAACTTTATTTTTTCATTTTTCAGGTTTTTATCATTTTAATTAAACAATTAATCTTTTAAAACCCTAATTTACCAATTCCTCACCCCTCGTCTCTCTCTCCTTACCCTCCCGTCTCTCAGAACTGTCCAGAACTGTTAAGACCCATACATCGCTAGTTGCCTCGATGGTATTCGTCGGAGATTGGTGAATGAGAAGCCGCCTTTGTGCTTGAAGCCATACTTTTCTTCTACCTCTTTTTTTATTTCTTTCAATCATCTGAGACTTAAAATTTCTTCTTTTAGAAATGAATCTTTTGAATAGAGGCTACAATTTTTAATTCATGTTAAAGGAGTTTTGTTTCAAATCGTGTAATTTTTATTTATCTCCATTGTTATGGGTTTTCTTCTTCGATTTGGGCACCAAAAAACTTTACATCAAAAATTGCTTTCATTTTGTAAAACAATTTCTTTCCTTCAGTAGCAATGTTTTGTAGCTGAAAATAACAATATGTGACCAAATGAAAATAACAAATTAATTTGTTCCTGCTATCAGGTCACAGGTTGGTA